TAGTCAATGTGTTTGGTAAACTTTAATTTAGTGTCAAAAATTACACCAAGAAACTTTTTTCGCTATTTTGAGGGATTAAATTATTGTTATACTTAACATTTACATTAGTATCAATACCATAAGCTAAAACTGAACTTTTACTACTATTTATATTTAATTTAAGTATCTCAGTATAATAGTAGTTAAGTTGACATAAAGCTGAATTAACTTTTGCTTGAGTAACCTGTAAATTACTGCCTACACTATATATTAAGATGTCATCAGCAAATTGTAATATTTTTACAGATTCAGTCACATATGTATATATTTGTGAAGTATAAAGGTTATACAGGATTGGAGATAAAGAAGACCCTTGCATCAACCCCTTGAATGCTAATTTTGGACCATGAAAAACATTATTGTATTTAATGTATAAAGAACGACCATAATACATATGGAAAATCCATTTTAAAAGCTTTCCTGGGATGCCCAAGGAATATAGCACCCTAATTAATTGGTGAAGATCTACATTATCATATGCCCCCTGAACATCAAGGAAAACACAAATTGCAGTAGAACCTGATAACAAACACTTCTTCATATCAGTCAGGTAAGCTATAAAACTTTCTGCTGCACTTTTGCCTTTTCTGAATCCAAACTGACAAGAAGGAATAAGTTTCTGGTTTTCAACAAAATAGTCCAGTCTAATCTTAATCATTTGCTCAAACAATTTCCCTACACAAGATGTAAGAGAAATGGGTCTGTACGAATTAAAATGATCATTGGGTTTGTCAGGTTTTAACACTGGTATGACACATTGCAACCTCCAGGATTCTGGAATCAATTGCTGAGACCAAAGCGAATTTAAAATATTAAGTAGAATATGTTTTACAGAAACATGTAGATTTTGAAGCATAATATAAGGAATATCGTCAAGACCAGGAGTTGTATTCTTTCTTGAAGACAAAGCCATGTCAAGTTCTTCAAAACAAAAAGAGTTAAGTAGAAACTTGCTCCACTGACTTCCATCATTAAATTCAAATAAACCAGAAATATTATCGTTGTTATTACTAGATTGCCCTAACTTCTCTAAAAAACTTGCTATCCACTCATCATTTTTGGACACATTTCTATTAATGTTAATTCTCTTAAATCTTCTAATAAAATTCCACACTCGGGATACTGGAGTGAATCTATTAAAAGACGAACAAAGACTTTTCCAACTGTCTTTCTTAGCCATTTTTATAATAATTTTTTTCCTCGAATCTATTTTCTTATATTCTATATAATTGTCCATTGTCATATTACGTCTATAATTAGCTAACGCTTCTCTTGATTTGGTTACAGCCTCGGCACAAGTATCATTCCACCAAGGAGCTGGAGGAGCAGACTTTTTACTAGAAGATTTATGCTTTAACAATGGAACACAGTTTTCTTTTAAACTAAGTAGTAATTTAGAAAATTCATCATATTGAACTAAAGGATCAATTGTTGAAGGAGAAAATTTATCAAATATATCTTTGGATTTATCATTGTACATATTCCAGTTTGTTTTATTATATAAATACTTATGTATAGACTCTTGTACTGTATATTTTTGAGTTGAGGTAATGATGTTAACAAAAGTAGGTAAATGATAGCTCCCTAAAGAGTCATCACCGACATACCACTCACAAAGTGGTGCAATATCAGGGCTAACACAAGTAACATCAATGGCTGATGCATTATTACCAGGTCTAGAAATAGTAGTAGGGTCACCAGAATTTAAAATACATAAATCAGCATCATCAAATATATCAAATAATTCACGACCTCTTGAATTGGTAGTATCACAACCAAAAGCTATATTGTGAGCATTAAAATCACCAGATACAAGACAAGGCTTGGGTAATTGCAAAATAATCTTTCTCAAATTAATCAAACTAATTGAGCTATTATTTGGTGGACAGTAGACACAGAGCACTGAGACAGGACCACATCCTGTTATTATAGAAATAGCTATAAATTGAATATTTTGATAGAAAGTAGTTTTTAAGACCTTAAATTTAATATCATTTTTTATTAAAATACCTACACCTCCATGCTCATTTTTAGCATTTTTTCCAACAAATATATAACCAGGTATATAAAAAGGCAGACCAGAATCTTTTAACCAAGTTTCATTTAGCAAGCACACATCTATTTTATTATCATATAATAAAGATTTAAGAAGTGGTTTTTTATTATTGATACTCTGTATGTTATGTTGCATTAATCGTAAATAATCCATTATTTTGTTAAGTTTTGTATTAATATATCCTTAATGTGTGCAGTTGTGTTTGCTGTATTAGAATTGCCTAACATAACTAAAGTTTTGATAATTTTACTTAAGAACTGATCATCTTTAATGAGCTGATCATAGGAACCACTATTAGGAGGAGCAGACTGGACTGGAATTGAACTATCTGATGAATTTTGTGATAACTTTTTTTTCTTAGGTTGGACAGTAGGTGAAGCTAATTTATTGTGAGCCAACTTTACAACTGATTTATCACTAGGTAACGGAGGAAAATCACTTGACAATAATACAGTTGAATACATTTTAGATGAATAATTATTTTCATGTTTTTTAATCTGAGCTGCTTTTTGAGGACAAAACCTGGATACTGCCAAGTGGTCTCCTCCACAGTTAACACACTTTAAAAATTCAGCTGAGCATTCCTTATAGGAATGACCACCTGAACACTTTGAACAAACCTGATTGTTTCTACATACTTTGGCACTGTGTCTAAATTTCATGCATTTAAAACATTGCATGAGAGGAGGAATATAAGTGAAAACTTTGTAACGCCAGTTGTCTAAATAAACATACTGAGGGAGAACAGTTCCTACAAAGGTAACGCTTATAGTAGTAAGGGGTTCTAAACCATCACAAGTTCTTTTCATGAAACGTCTAACACCAACAATTTCAGAGTCAGCCATTAGTTTGTGGTATAAATCCGCGTTACTGCATTCTTTAGGGATAAAACGAATTTTACCCACTCGCTCCACCGAAGAGGCTGGTACAAAAGCTTTCATATTATTGTCACGTAAGCTAACGTGACTCAGAAAATCATTAGCAGCTGCAGCTTGTTTGAAAACCAGCATAATTTTGGCCGCATTAACTCGACGACATTCCTTAATGCCCTTCACGTTTTTGAATATTTTTGATAAATGCAAAGGATTTTTATTACCTATCTTATCTTCCATTTTAATTCCCTGTACGTAAACGGGAAACTCTTCTATGTTATTATTATCCGGGTAGGATCGCTTATACTCGGGTTTAGAGTAAGGTTTATACTTATCGACATCGTTCGATTTTACTGAGTTATCAAATCGCCTCTTTTTCGAGTCTACGGGTGACTTTGTAGACCCGTCTTCATCACCATCACTCTCTGAAGACATTATTCTCCTCCAAAAGCACTCTGTCTTGAAAAAGACAATTTAATTTAAAATAAAACAAAATTTTATTTGAAAAACGCGGCTCTCCTTTTCCCGCCAAAAAGAAAGTCCAGGTTCGCAGATATTTCCGACGTGTTGTAACTTCATAGTGCCACTAATATTGCCATGAGAAAAAAAATATCTATTTTGTGGGGTAATTTTTACTATAAGAAATACCCCACAAAGAAATTCAGGGGGTGCTCACTCACTCCACACATATTAATCAGTTACGTTAAATTAAACCACACCCGAACACTCTATACAACTGTACCTAATACACCATAGAGTATAGACTTTCATTATAGGAAGTGTGTGTAATACACAGACGTCGTTTTTGTACACGCACAGCAGTGTGCGTGAAGTCTAGGGCTACCGACTACATTGTGTACAGTGTACAGTCTAAATTGGTTAGGTAAGAAACAATAACAATTATAACAATATTATTATTGTTTTTATAATTTGGTTTTAACATTTTTTTTTAAAGTGTCTTGAGCATATCCGGGCGTTTTGAGTTGGATGCCAGTTTAATCTACCGGTACACTCAGTCCATTTATTATTTAAAAACGGTTCATTCGGAAAACTGAAAAAAGTGGAAAATTTATTCAAGTGCTGGTAGCCCCAACGCGTTATAATCCAACTATTTACAAACGACACGAAGTGTGGCAACTACCTGACGTAGGTAACATGATTCGCAATTTAGTCGGTTAGCACTGAAAAATATGTTTGGAATTGTCGTATTTACAGGTTAAATTCATTGAAGATTGCTTATTCTTGACAATATATATTATATAATATATTGCAAAATACACATTCGAATGAATAATTCTTGAACAAAGTTACTGAGTCGTGACAAAATAAGATACTTACCGATGAAAGGTTATGTTTGGTTATTTACGTCCACTATAGCTTTTACAGCCAATTATGCAACAATTCACCATGACTGACACTTTAAATACACCTCTTATAAGGATAAAGTCTTAAATTAATATGGGTTTGACTCGGGTTTCACAGATTTATGACAACATTGTGGCAATGTGGCAAATTGGTGACATTTCGTTTACCTCCAAGCGCTCGGTGGTAAACAAATAAAACCCTTACGCAAATAAAGACAGAAAAACTGATACTCTGTTTCGCTCGCACTTAAGTATTTCACGTTAATGCCTTCTCTCTTTAGTTATTATCGTTATTTTAGAAGCTCATCTAGTTCTATACTCTATCTACGCTAAATTATGTTGATTTTACCTTTACTAAAATATATGTGATATTGACAGTGCTAAAACCGAATGACAATTGACATAGTTTGAAGTCTCAAGTTTATGCAATTAACAAATATATATTTGAATAATTCAAATTGAATTTTGATCATTTTGATAAGACCTACTTTTCTTCTAATTTACCTTCTTTAGATGTGTTCTTCTAATCAACTACGAGTCACTAGGTATACCTAGAACTACAACCAAAACCAGAAGTTTAGCTACGTGACTAGTGACTACACAGTACTCTTGCTATACCAATTTGCAAGCGATTTAACCGTGGTTGTAAGTAAATATTCATGAATAGTCATGATTAACGTGTCTAATTCAAAACTCATGCAAATTGCCGCTATTGGCGGGTTTATCGTTGTAAGTACTGGCTTTTATCTACAGAATAAACTCATAGAAAAAGTGCGGGAAATGGACTATTATAAGGTCGCAATGAAAAAACTAAGATCTCACCCAGGTGCCGTTTACCACTTAGGGGAACCAATAAAAGATAAGCGCTTTAAAATTACAGATAACGAAAATAATTATTGTGACCAAAAACTAGCTAGATTTAAAGTGCCAGTAAGTGGGACAAAAGATCGAGGAAGTTATTTTTTCTGGGCTATAAATGAGGGTGACAGTTGGTCACTAACAAAAGCAGAATTGGAATTAAAATCAAAACCAGATGAAAGATTAGTTATTATAAAATAATAGATTCAATCAAAAATTATATATAATGTAGCAATTCGTGAAATAAATGGTCAAATATTTATAGTATTTTGATTAACACCCTATTATGTTGGTTTCAGCCTATTAACAATATTTACAATGTTTATTGGTAAATCTAAAGAGAAATTCTCCTATCACAACACATTGCTATGTTTAGTCAAGTCATTAGAAAATAAAAGCATAACTGTTGATCTTCGGAATGATTCATGTGTGTGTGGACAACTAACATTGGTAGATGGGTTAGTATTTAATAGTTTTTGCCAATATCTACATATTTTAATAACTGATTTTAACAATATACTGTAATCCCTAATAATTGTTTTTTTTGTACAAAATAGGTAAATAGAAGCTATATTTATTTTTACAGATACATGAACTTATCTTTATCTAATGCTGTGTTTTGTGATCCCCAAGGCAATGAATACTTATTTGAAAATATTTTTATTCATGCAAGAAATGTAAGATATGTTCACATTCCCCAATCAGTAAGTTTTTTTTATTAATCCAGAAATAACTTCAGTTCAACAATGAAATCTAATTAATCTTCATTTACTTACAAATAAACAATTACAGTGGCTACCTATGAAGGCTAAATTACAGGTTGGATGGTAATATCTTCTTAATAAATACTACAGACTCTGCCTATTTCACTATTAGGAACATGTTTTATTATTATTCAGTGAATTTTTATAATTAAAGCTAGGCCAATAAAACAGAATTATCTAGTTGCAATGTAAAATTCACCATAACCAAAAACATTATGATTTAAAGATAAAAAAAAAAAGATAAAAAAAAGTACACATCAAATTAAGAACCTCCTACTCCATATATTTTTTAATTCAGTTAGAAATTCAATATTGCTTGTGTCGGCATCGTATTAACACAGCTTACTTATTAAATAGCATCAAAAAATAGTTCTGCCATATTTGAAGATTTTTGTATAGTTAAAGAAATGTATTGTCTTTTGTAGATTAATATTATAACAGCTATAAAACAAGAGCTACGCTGCAATAAAAGGGAGCCAAGAGAAAGACCGACAGCCAAATCCAGAAAAGTACAAAAGGCTATGAGGCAACATTTGGAAACGGTGAAATCTTTAAATGTAGATCCAGCAATGCCGCCAAAATAACTTTAACACGGATTACATGTTTTTTGCCAGCAGTCTGTAGACGCCTTATCTTACGTATTTTTTTTTTGTAGAAAACAATCTTGTAGGACAAAAACATTGCAAGGCTTATTTAATAGACAAGCAGCTCAGCATATTTGCCTCTTTTATCTTCATAGAATATACTTAAACTATGGCGTTTATAAACCTTAAAACCTATTTAATGTGAATCTTGTGTGTAACTCTGACAATAAAATTTCAATTACCTATCTTTCGCCTTGTATAAAATCTAATGTTCTAATCTATTCAAGCTTTCCCAATTTTATGCCTGCCGATCTGTGATGGATTTGGCATCACAGTGAATAACACAAACTTAGATTAGGCCCACAATTACGTCATTGACAGGAAGTTTTTGGCGGTAAAATTTCCCTCTATTAAATCTGTGGTTAAAAGAGTTTCATGAGTTAGAGTTGTGGTGTCACCAAACAATTTTAGAGGGTTTCCTTCCTAATTGCTGTAAAGCCTTAAATATTATGAATTATGTAATTACCAGTATTATAGAAAATTAAGAAAGCCTTATTAGAAATAATTATGTATTTATATAAAACCACTTTCTTTATTGTAGGCCATTCTAAATTTAGAAATAAATTTGCCTTTATAATTTAAAAAATCTGTAAAACTATTAATTAAAGACATTCAAAAATTATACTTTTCTATTCAAGTTTTACATAATAAATTGCACAAAGATCTTTTGTAAATATATTACAATGTTTAATTATAGTTTCAAAACTGCTAAATCTCTGACATTTGACAGTTCTCATAACTCCAGTTTCAACACCGTCACTTATCAATAAACATGACAGTTTAATAAACTCCAACTGTCAACTGACATTTGACAGTTCCCGCTCAGATTTAACGGCTCTCAATTTTTGTGTGACTCAGGACTATGTTCAGGTAAACCAAGAACCTGTCGATCACTATTGATAACCATTTGATCTATCTTTCCATTTTCATCCTCTGCTTGCTTTGAATCATACTCATTTAGGGGTGTGTCCATATAATTCCCTTCAATATTGTTCATATCATTGTACTTTTTCTCTGTATCCGAAGAATCATATTTCTGTATAGTGAACGTCTCCTTTTCTTTTTTGAAGTCATTTTCTGTTTTATCTTTGTAAGCTATATTCAGTTCACCGTTCATAACATAGTGTTCCTTAGGTGAGCATAGGGGCTGTTGGTATATTTTTGATGTCTTCTGTTGTTGCACTAACACAACTTGCTTGAATAGAGATTTTGAATTATCCAATATGGGACGAATGTAACTAGCTGGACGAATGAAAATATCATCTTCCTCCTGCTGTGTGTCTGGAGGATTCGAACTCTGTCCTTCAGGGGTGGTATTGCACAGGAAATTTGACTGATTGATACTGGCGATTATTGATGTGGGGCTCGGAGATGACTGCATTACATTCGGACGTTGTACGATTTGAGGATTCAGAACCCCTGAAGAAAAAAAAACATTTGAATAATATATACATGTTTTATTTTATTTTTTATATAACGCAAGCGGGCAGGAGGCTCATGTTATATTAAGTGATTACCGGTCTTTTAACTTTTTCTTTGTAGTGCTCAAGTAATACTTGAACGGCCCCTCTGGTAATATCAATTATAACAAAAGTGACCTCACCTTGAGGTCTAAACTTCGCCAGCTGTGCGTACACCTGTTTGATCCTCTCAATATTGACCAGCGAAGTCTTGGCATGATCAACTATGGGTATGGGGTAGTCCCTCCCTACAACGCATCTCGCCGCCTGTTGGACGCTAGATGGCGCCATCCACGGCTCGTGTATATATCGTGTCGGCATATTTTTTAACACGGGAATATATTTCCTGTAATAACGTTTTAATAAAGGATTGTTACTGGAGGTCATGCCTAGACAAAAACTATGTACTATCCGATTTTTAATTCTAACAGCTATCATTTTTTGACATGTCAGAGATTACAAATACGAGTCTGAACATCTGAGTCTATACACATTTTATTTGTTAGTGAAAGTATCCATTTTATTAAGTGCGGTGCTCCACATTAAAAGAGGTTTTACGGCGATTGATAATTACGTCCCTTTTCATCACAAACAGTAAAAACACACAAGTTATGATAACATTTTTTTTTAAAGGTTTGCTAAACCTGCAATTAATAGGCAGTGATGCCAGCTAAAGAATAAAATAAAGTAATTAAACTTAATTCGATATATTGTTCGTGATATTGAAATATTTGTTATTTTTGTATAAAGGCACTTGAGTAAGGTAATATACGTAGCATTTTTTTAATTGCACTGAAATGAGTCAAATTTGTCCCTTTTTCGGTGTAGAACTTTTTAAGTAGCAACACTTATGAAATCTCAGAATTCTACGGAATTAAAAATCAGCGTATACGTTTATTAATAATAATCAAAACAGACATTTGACCTTGGTTGGTTTGTGGACTCAGTTTCCGCACTTAGACTCTCAATAGGTCCGTTGTGCCAGTAATGTTATACATATAAGTAAATCTTCTGTGCATGAATAAACTTCTAAGGGAGCTTCAAGTACATATTACGTCACGCAATTTTTGGAGATTATTGAACCCCCCATGTAACGCGCCGTAACGTTTTTCTGTACCCAAGTATAATAAAACGTTTAGTAACTCTTTATACCTAAAAGTTACCATTATGTGGTGTAAAGTACTGGAAAGTCGAAAATAATATTAACAATAACGCGTAATTTAATCACCACCCCGCATCGTAACCTTTTACAAAAGGACCCCTCCCTAAATTTGTTACGTAATACTTTAGCGCTCCCTAAACAACTGGACCGAATTTGATGAAATTTTATGTGTTCAAGTGTAATTAAAATGGTTTACAATTGGATTTTTGTATTTAAGACGTGTACAGAAAGTTTGTCGGGTCTGTTAGTACCTTATAAAGTCTCCATTTGGATCAGTTTTTCGTCCGAATCGAACCGGACAATAGCAGTGGAAGAATTGTTGGAAGAACGATGAACAGGACAACCACATCCACATACCAGCGTTCACTGACCAGTCGGCATCCAAAAGTAATTCGTCAAAAACCTATGTATAACAAATTTATTAACTTATTAAATTCTTTATAATTAGGGATATGAAAAAATAATCGATTTTCTTCAAAGTAAAAATCGATTTTTTTACGCGATTTTTATAATTAAAATAATCGATTAATAATCGATTATTTATATATGTAATTGAAAATCAATCATAGTCGATTATTCATTTGTCACCTCCCGACATTATGTCTGGTCTTTTATAACCCGGACCTCGAACTATTAGGGATATTCGATATACATCGATGTTTACAATGCGATAGGTACATTGAATCCGATTCTTTGAAGATGTATTGATAAACTCGATGCATTGATGTTTTTTTGTAAAACATCGAAAGCTAGATAAAACCAGTTAATTTTACAAAAACTCAAGTTTGAATGGAGTAAAATAAAAGTAAAATAAATTTATTCAGCAGCACAAGATTACATACAATTAAAAAGACAACAAAAATACTGCAATGTGCTACTGAAAAGGCATACAACACTCAGCATTTATCAAATTTCACCTAAAATCTATCAAAACGAGATTAAGTTAATTTCGATTTTGATTATTCTTAAACGTTAATTTGTGTTTATAATTTCTATTGTTTATTTTTAATTAAAAAAACCATGAAAAGTAAAATATTTAGGGTGTGTATTTTGAAATTAATTCAAAAATTAGGAAAAAAATCGATTTTTTATGCAGAATGTCACATCCCTAGTCACGTCACTTGAACGTATGGTTTTCGGTCTTTTTTGGGATTGTCAGTGACTCCACACTTTGTCTCCTTACTCTCACTTTCTGACATCGTGAACAATCAGCTAAATGGCAGCAAAGCCAGGCCACTGTAACAGATCAGACTACTGTAACCAGTTAATTATAATCTTTTAGTGACGTAGTTATTATTCGACACGTTGCATTGTTCTCGAAACGTCGTTGCGTGTACTGTCAAGTCTCAACCAATATACCTTACTCTATCGGCTACGACATGTGAGAATGAGAAAGACTAGTCGAATTCAACTATAACTTACTGATTACTCTATCGGCTACGACATGTGAGAATGAGAAAGAATAGATTGCCAGTTCGTTAACCTTAACAATACTATAAAACAACATTGATATCGCGTGTTATTGGGCCGGCAGCGTCATCTCTATGATAATTCTGAACCATTAAACAATTTAAACTTGCCTTCATTCCTTCCTCCCATGAAATCCAAAGATCACCACGAGTGAGAAAACACGCCACGGCATGTCGTGCCAAATGATGGATCCAGCCTTCCTCCCTCAACTGTATCATTATCGCATCAATCCACGGAAACCCTGTCTGACCCTACAAATAAATAATACTTCAATAACATGTGACGAAAAGTCCAACGCATAAATTTAGCCAACATTACAAAGCATAAATTAAACGAAAAGTCCATATCATAAATTTAGTTAAAAGTACAAATCATAAATTGAGCGAAAAGTCTATATCATAAATTTGCTCAAAAGTACAGAGCATAAATTAAGCAAAAAGGCCACATCATAAATTTAGTTAAAAGTACAAAGCCTAAATTGAGCTAAAAGTCTATGGCTTACACCACTTACTTAACAAAAAGTCCTAAGAATAAATTAATCTAACTGTCTTATTCGAATATTGTAAAAATTTATACTACAGTGGTATCTCGACAAAGTTTAATTCGTTCCGTAACCTTGTTCGCATCTCAAAGCAATTTTCCCAATTTATGTGCATCAGCAATCCAGCACCAAAAACACCACTCGTTTTTGTTAAGTGATTTAAAAAAGGAAATGGTTTCACGCTTTAATTGAATAGACATCTTCGGCCCCATGGTTATAAAAAAAAATGTTATAATGTTTTGTAAACTAACTGTTGTGGTCTCTGGCAGAATGACCAGCGCTGTTGAGCAGTCTGCTCCTCAGCATAATGCTTAGCCAGGGCCAGGTACAACCACAACACACACGTACCTTGTGGACACAATTTTTTTTTTTTAAATTAATTAAACATACTCTGGACTGAAATTTGCTAGGCAACCCATATGGATTATTTTTATTGACATATTAAATTAAATATAAAATACGTTTCATTAAATAAGCATCTCGGTGAAGGTCGTTGTATATCGGGATCTTATATCTCTATCTATTCTGTGTTTTTTTATCATTATTATGTGTTTCGTGAGTAATAAATGTTATGTCTATGTCTAAATGTACAAAAAGCAAAAACGCGAACCCGACTTGTCAAAAATGCTTCGAAAACGAGGTAAACAAGCAAAAAGAGGTCTAATGCCGAGATGGGAATATGTTAGGGTAGTGTGCGATTCCTCGTACCACAAATCTTGCTCTCATCTCATCTCAAAATACTCTCAAGACACTCGTAGATTGATAAAAAAATAAATCAGTGGCGCTACAACCTTTTTAAGTCTGGGCCACAGATTTCTGTATCTGTTTCATGATCATTTGTCAATCTAATAGGCAAGTAGATGATCAGCCTGTGCCTGACACACGCCGTCCACTTGGGTCTAAGGCAAGCCGGTTTCCTCACGATGTTTTCCTTCGTACGAGTATTAAATGCGCACAAAGTCCACTTGTGCACAGCCGGGGATCGAACCTACGACATCAGGGATGAGAGTCAGACGCAGAAGCAACACTGCTGCTTATATCGAGTTACCACTGTATTTAAATTAAATTATTTATAAATAAAGAACAGAAAATGATTATAAATAAAATTCTTACATTGGCCCATTTAACCAGTGCTTCCTGGTTTTTTTCCCACGGTATCTGAACGCAAATTGGATTTCCAACCATTCTATCAAAATTGGGGTTGCGAGTTGCGGCGCAATAGAAAAACTCCCTCCACAGTATCTGTCCATGCAAAGATAGCGGAGGTCGGACCCTTTTAATCCTCTCATACAAATCGGTAAGTTGGTAGTAAAACAAACGCGTCGATAGACAACCGAATCTAAAATAAAAATTACATTTAGTGTTTAAGTGGTAAGTTTTATCGACAATTTAGAAGTTCCTAAAAATGTATTATCTATGTTTAAAATTATAGATCTGTGGTATAAAATATTTTGGTCAAAATAATTTAATAACCTGTGGTAAACAATTCGTATTCGATTCGATACATTATATAAAATGTTGTATGAACAAAAACTTCACGCCCTACAAGGAATTATTATTGATTCTGTATATATATTTTTTGTACTATATTGGCCCAACATAAATCATGTTTCTGTGGTATGACAATATTTGGGTTCATATTATCTAATTTCTATTTATTTTCATCATAGCCTAAGAATACGTCAGAAAGAGACAAAAATGTAATTTAATTACAACTATTGGCTATTTGACAGTATGAAAAATAAAGTGTCATTGAGCGTAATCTGTATAAATATGGCGTAAGCGTTGAGTATAATAATCTATAATTAAAAATATAATTTTTATACATCAGTCACGTGACACAAAACAGTCACAGATTAAAAATAAATCGCCTGTCTAGTACATTATTAAAAAAACTTGGCATCTGTTTCCAGACATGGTATGTCATAGCGACACATGCGACGCCATCTTAGCAAACGTTTTGGCGGGTTAAAATTATTAATGTTAAGCCAATAACAGAATTAAAAATGAAAATAAGTGGAATATCTGAGTTCTCTGTGCATCTATGTAACCTTTCTGATAATAACAAATTATTGCAATCAATATACAGTCAAATTATGCCAAAATCCATAACAATGAAATGTAATGGCGTCTTTATTGTTTAAAAATTTTAATATTTAACCTGTTCTTTTGCTTTCATAAATTATCTACAATTTTCACATGAACGTAAATAATAATATTTAATAAAAATATAAATTAAAAAATGCATTCCAAATGTATTTTATTACAAATTTAAATATATCTTAAATTACTAGATTCCTTTTAATTCCACGAAATAAAACCCTATAAAAAAATAAACCTGTTATCAAGTGAAATACCTTAAATACGGTGATAGACCAGTCTGACTCGCCAACAAAGATTGTGGTGTCATTTTGGGTCTCCCAAATGAGGCGACCCACGCTTTCCTCTCCAAATGTCTCTCTAAACGCGCCAAGGCTTCGGTCTCACCTCCAATCCAGACTGGCGCCTTTAGACCATCAGTTTCAAAACCTGAAAAAGATTTTTTTTGAATTGAATATTTTTTACGGATGAAACGGAAAAATAATAATATTCACGTCACGAAGATGTGCAGCGTTACTGTCGAAGAAAAGGGAGAGAGCGATTGAGACCGATTAAGAGAGAGTGGGAAAGGCGAATTACCTTATAGAAATTCTATTTTTAAAATTAAAATTTCGTAAAGAGAATTTATGAAATATTAGTATTTTATATTTTATGCAAAATAATTTATTGAAATCTCAAATGACGAATTGTAAATTAAAATGCCACGTGTTTTTATTATCTAAGAAATAAATTTGTATTAATTTTCGACACTTTTAATATTGCAATGACAATTAAATTCCTAACATATCTTTCTTTTTCCCTTCCTCTAAGTCTCGGAAATCTAAAGTTTTAGATTTGTATAAATATGAACAAGACTTAAAAATTAGTATGCCAAAGAAGTTTCACTTCTGACATATTGTGTACTTTGTACGCACGCACTTTTTTTTATCCAGTGCCGCTACAACCTTTCAAGACTGGGCCTGTTTCATGATTTATTTTGGAATGGAATCTCGCTGTTGTCCGTAAGGGCCTTTACAGCTCAGCTCGGGCTGTTTTGCATGTTTTCCTCTCAAGGGAGCAATCTATGGTGCTCTCCACCACTTCCTCGATATTGCCTTTCAATTTTAGGGCCCTGTGTAGACAAGTATAAGCTTCCTATCCCTGACTATGCCTCGACTTTTTTGGTCTAAGTCAAGCCGGTTTCCTCACGATGTTTTCCTTCACTGGTTGTAGCGCCACTAATAACAGGTGAGCGATAATAAAAAACACTTTAAAACTAAAAATTCATTGACTAAATCGTGACGATACTAAAAGAGCTGAATTTGGTAAAATTTAGTAATAAGTCAAGATGTACCAAGCTCCTCCAGCGTTGGAACTCCAAAGCGATCATCGTGGTCTGACGATAGTGGTGTTGTAGCGCCATTTAAAGATTCCAGCGTTATGGCCGCTTCTGAAAGCGGCGGGGCGGGCATACTTGCTATCAGCGCTTGAAATTGGTGGTATGTTAGTGGAGCCTTGCCACCATTCCTTTCAATGATGCTGCAAAATCGAAACTGATACTAGTATACAATGGGCAAAATCAGAAATAGGACCACATTATATGCCAAAGGAAATCTAAAACTCGTGTAAAAATTAAAGAAGTTAATAAAACTACAGCCAAGATTAAAAAAAGACTGTTATAGAAACTAGCATTTCCCCATGCTCGGACTAAGGTAGCTGAGTTTAAGGCAGTTTTTGCCGCGCACCACCACTATGTGGAACCAGCTGCCCACAGAAGTATTTCCGAACCAATTCGACTTAGGGTCCTTCAAGAAAAGAGCGTACCAATTCTTGAAAGGCCGGTTGAATTCGTTGTCAGAAGGCAATGTGAGTGTCCATGGGCGGTGGTATTACTTAACATCACGTGAGTGTCCTGCCCGTTTGCCTCCTATTAGATAAAAAAGCCAAACTAAGATGTTTAAAGAAAGAGAAGGAAAGAGTCGAACTCGCATCCTAAAAATAAAAAAAAAGATACACAAATTACGAAGTGACCAGGGTGAAAACTATGATCACCGAAGCGCTTACCCACGCCTTACAGCTAGGCAATGGGCAGGTCATATTGCATGGTGTACAGATAAAAGATGGACTCCCGAAACTGGAAAACCTCCAGGAAAAAGAAACGTCGGAAGACCACAAAAGCGATCGGCTAAAAACACAGTTACCCAGGGTTTCTGGAGAGAAATAGATGGAGGAAGCTAAGAACAGATACAAATGGAGAGTTCAGGAGGAGGCATTTACCCAAACGGGGTTCATACTGCAGCAAATAAACGGAAATAACAATAACTAACACACATTTGATTAAAGTGGCTTTATTATTAAAAGTCTTTGCAAAACACCTCCAAATTCATGAATGTTTTTGTGAATTCTGATAATAGTCATAAATCATTTACACGCCCCTAAATTAATAGAATTTAATTCTTAATTACCCCATTTTATTACTAAAGGCCTGTATTCACTTTGATTAGTGCGAGTGCAAGTGATTAGTAATTGACATTGATTAGTGCAGGTGTGTAGTGCAAGTAGTGTCCAATTATTGTTTAGTGGCTCTGTTAAGTAATAGGCCGGGAGATAGTGACAGGTGATAGTGATAGGCCTATAAATTTAGTTGTCATATAGTTTGGCAGGCACGCTGCGAGTGGGGGGAAAAACACTTCTAATCACTTTACTACGCAGGCTACTACTAGTATTGTCTTTGATTAACATAACTTTTATTCATTTAATAAAACACTATTTTGACCGGATTGAAGTTATGTATTATTATAAATTTACGGTCTATCGGTCGGTTATTCACGGTCACCGTGACCACGCACGCTGTAAAGCACGCGAAACGTCGGATAAATTTAAAATTATGTTAAATAGTTGTAAATTTATACATAACTTCAATCCGGTCAAAATAGTGTTTTATTAAAAGGCTACTACTAATCACCTGCACTAATGAGTCGCTGTCCACACTTGTTTTCTCCTAATCACTAATCACTTGCACTCGCACTAATCAAAGTGTGTACAAAAGTACAGGCCTTAATCTGCAACGCCGAGCTAGAAGAATGAAGAGGAGAAACTTCACAAAACATTTGCCAAGCATAAATTTTTCGTAACAATTTTACTAAACTTACTTGTCAAGTTTATACAGGGTGTGAGACGCCCGCGACAGCACATTTATCCCAACTTCGCGGCATTTCGTCGTTATATTATGATCCCTGACCCGACCGTAGGGCTCCGGATCCTCCTCGAACGACAATGCGGTGGTGCCCCATTCTTGAAATAATTTCGGCAACGCATCCGCCGGTTGACCGCGTACCACGAACAATCGTGAATTCAATTTCCTCAAACTATTGTCCAAATCTCCAAGGCATTGTAAGAGGAATCTGCAATTGACAAAGTCAAATCATATATTTCAATTATAAAGGCAACTTTGAAAGTTAAAAATATTAAAAAAAATTACTTCCAAAAGGAAGTTTCATATGGAGAACAACTCGTAGTACATCCGATTTTTAGAGAATGTGTTTCAAATGTTTAATTTCCAGTTCGTTTCTTGTCTTACAAGGTAAACCATACTTAAATGTGGACTTTATGACAACTATGTACATTGGAAAGGGAAGAAGGAAAAGAGTACCAGGAAGCGAATGGAGAAAGAAAGCCATGGATTGAGAGATATTTGGAAAAAGCTGGAAAAGCTTTACCAGTGGGGTTCCGATCAATGGTACTAAAGAAAATTAGGATAACAAGAAAATAAAATGTATATACAAATTATAAAAACTAAACAGTATATTTGTAAAGATTGAAAATTATTACTATTCAGGGCAGTGTTGGCCTAGTGGCTTTAGCGTACGACTCTCATCCCTGAGGTCGTAGGTTCGATCTCTGACTGAGCACCAATAGACTTTCTATGTGCGCATTTAACAACAGAGGAAACCAGCTTGCCTTAGACCCAAAAAGTCGACGGCGTGGTACAGGCTGATCACCTTTGCCTATTAGATTGAACTATGATCATGTAACAGAGGCCGACATCTGAGGCCCAGACCTAAAAAGGTTGTAGCGCCACTTTTTTTTAAATTTATTATTATCTGAAAGTAATAAAACACTATTTTGACCGGATTGAAGTTATGTATTATTATAAATTTACAACTATTTAACATAATTTTAAATTTATCCGACGTTTCGCGTGCTTTACAGCGTGCGTGGTCACGGTCAAAATAGTGTTTTATTAAATGAATAAAAGTTATGTTAATCAAAGACAATACTATCTTAAAGTAATTTTTGCGTCTAAACGCACGTTATTTAAGGCATGAATTTCCTCACAATGTTTTCCTTAAAACACGCCCTCATTGAAACGTTTCATTGGCCACGTGACTCAACAATTATCGTGGGCAACACTGCTCCGTATATGCCAGAGTATTGTTAGTCTGTGCACAAATATAAAATAAAAAAATACCTATGTCAGAGTTCCCAGCTCTTCCATAACAAACTAAATTATGAATTCCTTAAAATATCTAATTTATAAAATTCTCGTGTCACAATGTTCGTTCCCATACTCCTCCGAAACGGTTCGACCGATTCTTATAAATTTTTTACGCATATTCAGTAAGTCTGAGAATCGGCTACTATCTATCTTTTAACCCCTTAATTGATAAGGGGTGTCCACCCCAAACTATTTTTTATTTTTTTATGGTACAACATACAGAAATACATACAACCCTTAATTTTCACCCCTCTACGATCAACCCCTATTTTTTATTATAGTAGATAGTTCAATAGAATTAACAATGTTTCTTAGAAATAATATACATGGCAAAACAAACGTTTGCCGGGTCAGCTTGTTTATATATATGTAAAGAGAATGATCTCTTTAATTTGAATATTCGCGCGCACTGCTAGTTCGTGAGTGAGCCGCGTCGTGTCACGTCAAGCTAGCTGCCATTGTCAAAGATGTAAAGGACAAATATGCTGAGATCGTTGAATTGTATTTTAATCTTATTTGTTAATTAATTTCATACTTAGTTAAGCTATATGCGTCGTTTCTTTACTTACAGATGAGATTGTGTTAGTCTTGTAAGGATTGTATCAGTGTGTAACCTACTCGATAAATAAAATTGCATTCTTTACTTACAGAGAAACAAATAGAAGTTTTATTTAGCCTCTTGCAATTGAAATACAAACTATTGTCTTATAAATATGTAATTACATCATTTATTTTTAAACTGTTTTCAACACGCCTGAGGGCATGAGTACGTGTGGGTGTGTATGCGTAATCAAGGAATACGTAAAAAAACTTACCTCCATTTATTAATCCCGACATTTGACGAACTTGCAAACCAAGGATCAATGATGAAGACACAACGAAATGTCGACGCATCGATCAGACCTTCCCTCAACGCCGGGTTGTCGTGAAGTCGGAGACCCTTCCTGAACCAATGTACTGTGTGTTTGTCTGTTTTTGGATTCGACAGTGAAGCATCTTTCGACGCTGACCGCGCCTCTGCAGCGGTTGACATCACTACGTTACCGACATTCCTATAATCACATAATACGTTATATTCTTTGTTCAGAAATATAAAGAAAAATAGAAAAAACTTTATTATACACAATATACAGGTTATCACTACATAGCATAAAACAAAGTCGCTTTCTCTGTCCCTATGTAGGTATGCTTAAATCTTTAAAACTACGCAACGGATTTTGATGCGGTTTTTTTTAATAGATAGAGTGATTGAAGAGGAAGGTTTATATGTATAATAACATCCATTAAATAGTAAAGAAATACTGTTATTTTTGAGGTTTATAATGTGAAGTCGTAAATCGTAAATAATTAAATTTTTTCCGCTTACATTGCGAACCCTACGGGATTTATCAAAATAATGTACTAAGTATTGTACACATTGAAAAGGTCTACAGTAAACTCCACGATGGTATATGTCTATCTCTTATGGATATCCCACAATAACATTTTTTTGTCATTTAATTTTTACGACAAATTTTCGAAGCGATTTTAGCAGCATTAATCCGTATCCAATTAAATACCTTAAATACATTATTGATTTAATATAGATCTATATGGCCCTTTACAGCATATGATTTAAATGAATATTTTCGAAGATATTACAGATTTAAAAATTGCGTACCGGCCGGCCGGGGCAGGAGCGTCGGCCGTTTCTCCACTGCTCCGGTCCGGCAAACGTTAATTACCGATCCGGTTTAGAAACTCACAACAGTACTAACGTTCTTCTCCACTACTCCGGCATCCGGTTTTTAACGATCCGATGACTTGCTAGGTCGGAACGCGGTGTTTTAATGGGTACAAGTATCCAAGAGGTTATAAAGTATTATTCACAGGTTTATTTATAGTTTGTTTAATTTGAAAGAATCTGGATAACCTGGACCAAACCAAATTATGTTGCTATTTATTTATATTTTTATACCATAGTATTAGTGAACTATTTTTTAAGTAGATTATAATATTTAGACAATATAAAAAAAGGAATAAATTTGCCAGGGCAATAAAATATTCAGAATTTAGAACGTTTTATTAATAAAATAAAGTATATGGCTTTTAGTTAATATGGGTGTTGCATGATAAATATACAAGTATCGATTATTGTCGGATCGGATATAGTGGAGAAGCGCAATCCGGCCTTCCGATATTTTTCTCATGACTCATTCCGGTATCCGACGCCAGACCGGAGCAATGGAGAAAGGGCCTACCTATACATAGCGCGTCGGAGGCCGCGGTTCTCCCTATAGCACTTTGTGTGTGCGAAGCCGTGGCGGGTCGCTAGTATATATAATAAAGTGCACTGGCCCACACTAGGATTCCCTGTGGGGAGCCAGTGTCTTCCTTTTGACATATAAACTGTACTGTGTGATTTCTACATAAGACAAATATATATTTAAACTATTTTGAACAATAAGAATATTTTTTGTATCAGCATAGGACAGGTTGACAAGATATTGTTTGAGATTCTTATTATTTATGTAATGTGAGTTTTGATGTTAGTGATAATTTTGTTTTTAAGGAAAAAAAATCGTTGAAAATTAATTATATATCGTTTACATTTAAGATATTTAATAATAATACTAATAATAGAAAAAAATATGTATCTACTTCTTAACAATTATTCTTATTATTAACTTTTAATTATATTTTATTTACTACACACCTTTACACAAGACTTCATTACTTACACTGCTAACTTTTTTTTTTTTCTACTAAGTATTATTACATTCCCTTTCTTTCTTTTTTTGCGACTGAGGTGCAAACTAGCTGTTGTGTTCTCTGGCAGAATGCACAGCGCTGTGGAACAGTCTGCTCCTCAGCATAATTTTGAGCCAGAGCCAATTACAACCACAACACACACACACATTACACACTTAAATTGTACCTTGTTCTTTAGAAAAAAAAATGTTATTTTTCATTCTTTTTTATTTTTTAATTATTATTTTGTGTGTTTCTGTCTGTGTGTTTCATTAGCAATACATGTTATGTCTTTGTCTATTAGGATCATTTAAATAATAGTCAAATTTATAAAAAGCTTTATTTACTAATTTACTTTTAACGAGAGTTTTGAATTTATTACGCCTTCCCCAATACCTAGAATGATTCAGTAAATATAGCGACCCATATTTTTATGGTTCACGGTTCACGATTGTTCGTACGAAGGCCGGGCTATATTTATACTGGTCACGTGGACGAGTTCGATTTAAGAGTCCTTTTGCGTGGACTGCGATTTGGATTGTCTCCACAGGAAATACCTTTTGGAAGGGGCTTCGTTTTGCCATGTATATTATTTCTATGAAACATTCTTTAGTTAAATAAAAATAACTATCTACTATAATAAAAATAGATCGCAGAGGGTAGATGAAAATTAAGGGTTGTATGTATTGTGTATGCTGTATCATTAAAAAAATAAAAACAAAAATTTGGCTAAAAAAGAAAAAAAATGTTTGGGGTGGACACCCCTTATCACTCAGGGGTTTGAAAGATAGATAGTAGCCGATTCTCAGACTTACTGAATATGCATAAAAAGTTTCATAAGAATCGGTTTCGGAGGTGTATGGGAACGAACATTGTGACACGAGAATTTTATATATATTAGAAGATTTAACGTTCAAAAGTGCCATTTTTTTTTAAGAAAAAGATTTGACTATGGACTATTGCAACGGCGTAACTATCGTTATTTAGTCAGTATTGTATATAATAGTTTAAATACAAATAATTACAATGCAATTGGGGCTTTATGCTAACGATCTAATCTATCCACTTTAAAAGCTTTTTATCTTTTCGGGAAATGTGAAAAATACAAAAAAAAAATCTTATTATTATTAATTATACCCATACATACATACATTCTACTTGAAACTTCTCCTGAGTAATAGTAGTAAGTATCGCAAATAGTATTCCAGTAGATTTGGAACTTCTACTTCTACATATTTGGAACAGCTGATGAATGAAGTATATTTTCAAATAGTACAATTTGTTAATGAGTAGTGTTTGAGTAGGCTTAGTAGCTTCAGCGTGCGACTAACATCCCTATGGTCGTAGGTTCGATTCCCGACTGTGCACCAACGGACTTTCTATGTGCGCATTTAACATTCGCTCGAACGGTGAAAGAAAACATCGTGAGGAAATTGCCTTAGACCTAAAAATTCGACGGCGTGTGTCAGGCACAGGAGGCTGATCAATTGCCTATTAGATTTACAAATGATCATGAAACAGATACAGAAATCTGACGCCCACGACTTAAAAAGGTTGTAGCGCCACTAACTTATTTTATAATTTGTTAATAGTTATTCACTTAACTATAAATACATAGACCGTATTGACCTTGACCTTTAAATCACTTAAACAACAGTGTGTAATGGTTGCAGCTCCTTACAAACATTGGGTAAAACAAAAAACTTGGCGATTAAAAGGAGTGGCGGAGAGTTTATTGCCAGTTCTTCTCTTCCGTTCTACGCCCTTGATTTGATAACTGGCAGCAAATGTAAAATTAGAAGCACTTAATATAATATTTATTTTTTGACGTTCATAAGTGTACATTGTGTTAGGGAGCGTTCAAGTATTATGTAACGCAATTTTTGGAGATTATTGACCCCCCCATGTAACTCGCCGTAACGTTTTTCAGTACCCAAGTATATTAAAACGATTCGTGACCACCTAGGTCCTAGTGACTCTTTAGTTACTATTATGTGGTGTAAGTCGAAAAAAATATTAACAATAACTCGTAATTTAATCTCCGCCACGCATTTTTTTTTACGTTTTTACGTTTTACAAAAGGACCCATATAAATGATTTTGATTTGATCAATTACGAAAAAATAAAAAAAACGAAAAAGAAACCATTTCGTGTTCCTTCTAAACTTTCCAAGTGTAAAACATCGAGGGTGAGTCACGTTAACCAAACGTTGGTTGTTTTTTTTTATATCCACGTGCGTTGTTCAGCGCATGCGTAGACAGGATAGATTTGTATTAACTGCCACAAGAAATCCTAGTAATAAATTCTGCAAGGTTCTATTTGTTAGAGCAGTATTGGCCTAGTGGCTTCCACCTACGACTCTTATCCCTGATGTCGTAGGTTGGATCCGACAGCGTATACAACGGCACAGAATGCTAATCATCAACATTCCTATTAGAAAAAACAAATGATCACAGATACAGATTTTTTTTCTTACTCTCATGTCTATGGTGTGTTGAAATCCTATACGTTTTTGACATACAGCAATGCCATTTAGCTCTTAGTGTCGATTCTGAATTTTTAATATCACACCTCAAATAAAATTATAACTTTTAAAATAATACTTATGAATGTCAATAAAAATATTTCTTAATTGACATTAACTACCAGCTCTCAAATGATTGCAAAGAAGTCTCTCCAATACATTGGAATTATCTTTATGGGTTTTAATTGTCTATTTGATCTTTTACATTGATAATTTTTTAGACGAAAAACCTTCTATGCCGGATCATTACAGATTTTTGGTGTCAAGTCTCTCTCTTCCTTTAATTAATGTAATATTAATCTGTCCCTGTGGATGCCATTGGTGTTTCCTTGGCCTTTCAAAATAAAATAAAACTAGTATATATAAAATCAGACAGTCCCGGCATCACATGGCTGGACACTATACAATATTTTTAAAATTAATAAAGCCTATTTTGCTTATTGATACTGTAGCATTTAAATGGTGAGAGAATCTTTAAAATATGTACACTAGGGATTTAAGTTTATTTTTTGCAAACAATCATTAAATATTACAAATCTTTCCTTTACAATATAAAAATAAAAACTAATAATCTATGCCAAGACCAGTTGCTTGCAATTGAGACATATTTTTGTACATTGTTAAAACACCTTAATTTTATGGCTACTTACTTATGTTGTACATAATTAGCGCTTAAGAGAATCAAACACTAATAAAACATGATGTTAGGTATTTTCTATTATCATTAAAAATATTACCTACATTAATAACACAAAAGAATGCTATTAAAAGTAAATATA